GACAGAGCGAGGCTCCGTCTCAAAAAAAAAAAAAAAAAAAATTAGGACTCTCGAAACTCGTTTTTTGTTTTTGTTTTTTGTATTTGTGTGTGTGTGTGTGTGTGTTTTTAAGACAGGGTCTCACTCTGTTGCCCAGGTGGGAGTGCAATGACACAAACCGGGTTCACTGCAGCCTCAACCTCCCAGTTCAAGTGATCCTCCCACCTCAGCCTCTTGAGTTGCTGGGACCACACGTGTGCCCCACCATGCCAGGCTGTTTTTTACCTTTTGTAGAGGGTAGAATGATGCTCAGACTGGTCTCCAACTCCTGGGCTCAAGCAAGCCTCCCGCCCTGGCCTCCCAAAAGTGCTGGGATTACAAGTGTTAGCCACCATGCCCAGTCCTGAAGTTCTTTTAGCCCTTTTTATGCATGAATCCACATAGCACCACCACAAAGTCTCATTGCTATCAAGTATCTTCAGATGAATTAACTGTGTAGGTGATGATTTAGATAGTGTCAATTTAGAATCAAATCAATTTTCACTTTTTCTATGGCATGAGTACAAAAAGCATACTGTCATTCAGTTCTAAATACATGCCATCTAAACATCTTTATTATACACAGATCTGCATAAATCCAAAATTATTTTATGCTCTCATCATTGAGTTAAGACAGAAATAAATTAAGTAGAATTGGTTTTTCAAACCTGTTTTGATGTAAATATCTTCTCATATCTTCTGTTTTTTGAAACTCCCTAATGGCTACTGGCTTTACTGGTGAACCCTAGGCCAAAGGATAGAAATAAATAAATTTAATATATTAATCCATAACACTGTGATTACACAGTTCACATCCAATTTGTCATTTAATTTGTATATTACATTAAAAAATATTTTAATAGACTCTTCAAATGTAAACTTTAAGTGTAAAAGCATCATATGCTATACTGCTGCTTTAATAAACAAAAATGTTCACAATTCACATTTATTTTATAAGAAAGTAGATTTCCTTCTCACTGTATTATATACATTACAGTGACCGAGCACAGTAATATTTACTGAATAATAAGATGTTAGAATTGGAAAGGAACTGAAGAGGCCACTAGTACAGACTTCCATTGAGGACAGAAATTCCCACCTACCCTACCCTGACATTTGCTCAGTTTCTCTTGAATATTTCTGGAAATAATGAGTTCACTGGGCAGATTACATTTCTTTATTGATCCATCACCACAAATTGTCTCTTATCACACTCATACAAATAGTCTTGGGTGTGTTGGTGACTATCAAGATAAAACAAAAAGTAATTTCTATTTATGGTAAAATACTGTATTTAAAAGAAAAATATTACTAGCAATTTTACTTATTTATGAACTAAAGAGTAAAAGGTCATTTTCAAAAAGTATTACTGAGGAAAATTAAACTGGTTTAAAATACAGACCACACACAGAAAAATAAAACTATAAATCAAAGGTAGAGGATTAAAGGTTATCAAAGGAAAATCTACAGAAGCAATACAATCTTGTTTCAACCAAAAATAATCATCAAAATAGTTATTCATCAAGGGAAAAATAAGAAAACAACTTTTCCAAAAAGCATATCTACAAATCAAACATGAAACTACTTATCATCTACCTCCAAGAAATAGGTACATCACATGTCACTAGAAACTTTTGGTGAGTTACTCCAAAGGGCTAACAACTGACTGTCTTAAAGTCTGGACATGAGATCCCAATAATAAACTACAATTCTGCAACTCTGATGCAAAAATAATTTTTCTAATTTTAGTGAATACACCATTTTACAATTTTTGTTTATTTAGTTAGAGACAGAGTCGCTATGTTGCTCAGGCTGGTCTCAAACACCTGGGCTCAAGCAGTCCTCCTACTTCAGCCTCCCGAGTGGCTGAGATTACAGGAATGAGCCACCAGGCCAAGCTATACCCTTTTAACAAAGAAACAAAAATCTCTCCTAGGATGTTGTATCAGTGACTTACCATCCTAGTTTTTTCGTTTGGTTGGTTGTTTTTTGATACGGAATCTTGCTCTGTCACCCAGGCAGAGGCACAATCTTGGCTCACTGCAACATCCGCCGCCCAGGTTCAAGCGACTCTCGTGCCTCAGCCTCCAGAGTAGCTGGGATTACAGGCGCCCGGCATGACTCCCAGCTAAGTTTTATTTTTTTATTTTTTATTTTTATTTTTTTAGTAGAGACAGGGTTTCATCACATTGGCCAATCTGGTCTAAAACTCCTGACCTCAAGTGATCCACCCGCCTCGGCCTCCCACAGTGCTGGGATTACAGGTGTGAGCCACCATGTCCAGCCCCATCCTAGTTTTATGATACTGCCATTATCTAAAATTATTCTAAGACGTACATGAAATTTTCATGACGAAATGAATGTGTCATTCATTTAATTAAAAAAAAAATCATACCATGTTCAGATAGGAATGGTCTATGTATGTGACAAGTATTATAATAAAATTAAATAATAGTAGAGTGTTTAAAATCTCACATAGGTTAGTTTTTAACAATCCATTTTTAGGTAAGTGTTCAGGAAAATAAAAAGATATTTCTTCCCTGGTTGTGAAACCATCTAAAATAATGCTGCCTCATCATATTTTCACAAGACGCTAAATTTTACGAAAGCTTTATGACACAGAAGTCGTAGACTACCATATGTAATAGGCAGCCAGAATTTAAAAACTATTATTACAAAACAAACAATATAATGAATTAAAGAAATGATACTATTATTTTTCATAGTAGTATAATAGGCATTTTTACTTTTAGTAAAGATACTCCATTTATACAGCCTAATTAAGCATAACATGATCAAAGAGAAAGACCAGGAGAAAAGGAAATGAATTCCTTTAAGGATTATAATGTGTCATTGTTCATTTTAATTTTATTGCAAAACAGTTAGGTGCCCCTTGCTCTAGCAGCCTGAACAAGTAGTTTCACCAGTCATCTGGTACATTGCTATCTCTGGGCTGTAAGACTTTGACTTACATAATTTTATCCAACTTTAAATACAAGAGTGTCTCTTTACCAACAAAACACACTGTGTTCAAAAGTGTTCAGACAGGAAAAACCAAAGCCCCTTTTTTAAAAAAAAGAATGATAATATTGGCTGGGCACGGTGGCTCAAGCGTGTAATCCCAGCACTTCGGGAGGCTGAGGCAGGCAGATCACATGAGGTCAAGAGTTTAAGACCAGCCCGGCCAACATGGAGAAACCCCATTTCTACTAAAAATACAAAAATTAGGCGGGCGTGGTGGCGCACGCCTGTAATCCCAGCTACTCAGGAGGCTGGGGTGGGAGAATCACTTGAACCCGGGTGGCAGAGGCTGCAGTGAGCCGAGATCACACCACTGCACTCCAGCCTGGGCGACACAGTGAGACTCTGTCTCATTAAATAAAGATGATAATACCACTCTACAACATGTCCCACTTGAAATGATTATTCTCTATTTCTTTTTTTTCTTTCCTTTCAGCTGTCTCAGACCAAAGAGACTATTCTCTATTTCTAAAAGGCTAATACATCATTCTCTAGAAAGGACCCAACTGTTTCTCAAATAATCACTGCTCAGAGCCTGAAACCAACTCCAGACATCAACATCACACCCACTAAAGTGAAGCCATTTTACTATGCTGACAAGACAGACTGAAGAACGCTGTTCTATCTGAGACCCTTGGGGAGCTGGCGGAGATTCTGCAGTGCGCTGAATGCACATTTGTTTTCTAAGGCAATTCAATGTTCCACTTAAGAGATACCCAGGAATTTTAATAGCAAACAATTTATGTTCTGTGTGACTTAGCACAAAAGCTCCAATATAATTCAGCATATTATAAAAATTCTATGGTTAAGTCTGCATGCTGCCACAAAAGTCAACTTTTTGGTTTAACTGTTAATTAACTACTGACCAAACTATGATTTATCAGTTAGTAACAATATAAAAGCAATAAAAACAACAATGAAAAGCATCACTGTATTTTTCTTTGTATTTTCTTCGAAGGCCTTAACAGTACCTAGACTTCTCTTTTTCCTTCTGCAAAATTCTGAAATCTGTCTTCTTGTTTGAAAAATAAACCTAAAGCCTACTTGAGACTACTGTCTGATGTTTCTGAATAAATCTCAACAATTTGGTACTGAAATTAGAAGTGAACATAATGAAAACAATTAGGCTTAAGTCAACAAATCACTGATACAACAAAACTTTATACTATTATGACTTATTTTCACGAAGGGACAGCAACATATTTAGGCTTCAATCCAGGTACTACCTCATGAGAGATTCGCCGTTGTTCAATATATGCCATAAACTGTGAACTAAGGCTGTCTGAGTCCGGTCCCTTGGGCTGTCTCACCTCGGCCTCTTCTTCCTCTGCGGTACAGCTGTCTATGAAGTCAATCTGATCCAGATCATGTTCCACTGTATACACCACACACACACCCACACACACCAGAAAAAAACATTCGAATTAGATAGCCAATAAAAGACATTTACTTATTTCCTTTTCCCCAAGATTTTCTATTTTGAAAGTGGGAGGGATGATAAAAATTTTAAATTACTTAAGTCTTTTTTTTACCCATTTTATGTCCAAGGTTGGTGGCTCATGCCTGTAATCCCAGCACTTTGGGAGGTGGAGGCGGGTGGATCACCTGAGGTCAGGAGTACGAGGCCAGCCTGACCAATATGGTGAAACCCCGTCTCTACTAAAAATACAAAAATTAGCCGAGCTTAGTGGTGCAGGCCTGTAGTCCCAGCTACTCGGGAGGCTGAGACAGGAGAATTGCTTGAACCTGGGAGACGGAGGTTATAGTGAGCCGAGACCATGCCACTGCACTCTAGCTTGGGCAACAGAGCAAGACTCCGTCTCAAAAACAAAAAAAAAGTAAATAAATTTTACTTATATTTTATTTTGTTTTTCTTTTTTTTGAGACAGGGTCTCACTCTGCCACCCAGGCTGCAGTGCAGTAGTGCAATCTTGGCTCACTGCAACCTCTGCTTCTCACGTTCAAGCGATTCTCCTGCCTCAGCCTCCCAAGTAGTTGGGATTACAGGTGTGCACCACCACGCCCAGCTACTTTTTCTATTTTTAGTAGAGATGAAGTTTCACCAGGTTGGCTACATTGGTCTCAAACTCCTGTGCTCAAGCAATCCGCCCACTCTGGCCTCCCAAAGTGCTGGGATTACAGGCGTCGGCCACCGAGGCTGGCACCTGAGTGTTTATTATTTAGTTCATAATCACTCACAAAAATAGGCTCCAGAAAACCTTAGTCCTAGTTCACTAAAGAACATAGTAATTGATGATAATTATTGAAATAGAGACCTCTAACATTTTTCTTTGGACAGCTCCTGTTTTAAACACAGTAGTTTGAGTTTGTGAGACAAAGAGCAAGACCAGTTTTTAAAGACTGAAGGGCACATCTTCGTGTTTTAGGTCTGGGGCTTATTATCTCTGGAGTAGACAGCAGGTGGAAAACTGAACATAGTCAACTCAGAAGTAAAAGGCCACACACAAAAAAGGGAAAAGGTAAGAGTAAACTAGACTTGAGAAAGAAAAGAGTTTCTGACTACTATCTCCCTTCCAGTAATTGTTGTCAATTAAACAGAAACAAAAAAGATCAGAACAAAGACTGTCCTATTTGGAAAACTATCTGCTAGAGGTCAGCAATGTAGATATTTTATAATAGTTTTTGGATGGGAAGGGATTCATTTGACAAATTTTTTCCTCTCAAAATGCTTTAGGGTGAGGAGAAGTACATAAATTATTTTTAGCCACATCGTTCATCTATTAAGTTTGGGAATCCCCCATTATTTTTAAGTTTAAAAGTAATGAAACAACTACTTAAAATGGCACACTAGAAAAAAAAACTTGCTACTAAGACAGTTTCTCCAGAGACGCATTAAACCACAACCTGTTACTTTATGACGTTCTACAGGCTGCCTAAAAATCGCAGTTGCTGGAGCAGTGAACCTGGAGAAGCCTCTTTCTCAAACTAGTCTTCTGACTCATTTATAAATAATTCTGTGAATGCAATTAATATAAAATGAATTATGAGTTATTAGAGTTTTATTAATAGCTAAAAAAGATGAAAAGGTTACAAGTTTACATCCACATTAGAAGACAGGTAAATAAATGCATTTTTTTTAATGTGCTAACACTTGTCTGACTAAATACATGTTTATATTAAGACCATTTCTGAAGAAAGCAACTTTACTTCTTCATACAATCTAGACAAGTGTGGCCAAAGAGAAAAATAACACAAGCCATAAAGGTGAACCACATACGTCACTTGAAATTTTCTAGTAGTCACATTTTTTAAAGTAAAAGAGGCAATATTAATTTTAATATATTTTACATTGTCCAATATGTCTAAATATCACTTCAACATATAATCAATGCAAAATATTACTACTTTATATGCTTTTTTTTCAAATGAAGTCTTCAAAATCTGATGTGTGTTTTAAACTTACAATACGTATCAATTTGGAAAAACCACCTTTCTTTTTTATTTCCTTTTATGAGACACAGTCTCATTCTGTTGCCCAGGATGGAGTGCAGTGGCGCGATCTTGGCTCACTACAACGTCTGCCTCCTGAGTTCAAGTGATTCTCCTGCCTCAGCCTCCCCAGTAGCTGGGATTACAGGCATGTGCCACTATGCTCTGCTAATTTTTTTTTTTTTTTGGGGGGGGTTTTAGTAGAGATGAGGTTTCACCATGTTGGCAAGGCTAGTCTCAAACTCCTGACCTCAAGTGATCCACCTGCCTCAGCCTCCCAAAGTGCTGGGATTACAGGTGTGAGCCACCATGCCCAGCCTAAAAAAACACATTTCAAATACTCAATAATTACCACATGTGGCTAGTGGCTACCATACCGGCACAGATCTCAACATTATTTTAAGTCTTAAATAAACTGATGGAGAAAGATACCTCATACGAGAGAAACACTGAAGACTACTGAAATGTAAATGAAAAATGGTAACGACAGGAGGAAAGAACATAAGATGGTGAGGAAAAAGACAGCAAACCATTTAATTGAAATCATCACGCAGAAATGAAAGCTCTTCTCAGATAAGTAATAGGTTTCTGGAAAAATCAAAGTCATTTTCCCTTATAACTGGCCCTCAAAATTTAAATATGAAGTTAAACATTAAACATTAAATTCAAACCAATTCAAGCAATACAGAATGGAATGCGAAAATCAAGAGTCTGCTTCAGAAAGTATAAGCAAGTAGAGTGCTACTTGCTAATGAACTACAAATTTTTTAATGTCAGAATAAGGAAAACTGCGATTCAGACGCCCTTGAAGAGCATCTGACAATTCCAAGTGAAGAAAAGGTAAATGCTAAAAAAAAAATGCACTAAATTTCTAAAAGGGATCAAATAATGACCACAGCAAGAATCTTAAAAAGGGAGAATGGTACTTCAAAAGGTCATGGTTAAATCCAGATTAATGAAGATCTACTCCAGGTGTACTGTCTCTAATAAAGTTTCCTCCCAAAATAAAAATAAGGGAGAAATACTATATTTTAACTCTGACTGAAACCAGAAATCATAGTTTCATCCCAATGGAAAATAGCATTTTTCAATCATATATGAAAAGAAGTATTTAAAAGAAGAGTGAAGAAGCTATAGGTACACAAACAAAAGCAATGGGTGTGAAAAAGACAACTTTAAAAAGTTAAATGACTGCAAACACTTTCGATGTCACTGGAATTACGTTTACCTCCACCATTTGTTACCACTAAACTGCCGCGATTCTCTTGGTACTGGCTTTCCCTTCGTAGTCTTTGTTCTTTAGTCATCTCTGCTACTCGAAGAGGCAGATCGGAAAATTCATCTGTAGGCTTAAAAAAGAAGCAGAAACGTGAACAATCATTTTCCAGCCTGGCGGCTCACGCCTGTAATACATGCACTTTGGGAGACCGAACCAGGGGATCACTCGAGGCCAGGAGTAAATCAGCTGGGGGTGCTCACGCATGCCTCTAATCCGAATACTTGGGTGTTGAGACGAGAGCATCGCTTCAGCCCAGGACTTCGAGGCTGCAATGAGATAGGATTCCACCACTGCACTCCGGCCTGTGCGAACAAAGCGAGATCCTATCTCAAAAAGATAAAAACCTGGCCTGGAGTGGTGGCTGATGCCTATAATCCCAACACTTTGGGAGACCAAGGTGGGAACGATAAACCCAGGAGTTTGAGACTAGCCTGGGCAATACAGGGAGACCCCGTCTCTAAATTTAAAAAAAGTTAATTAGCCGGGCGTGGTGGCATAAGCCTGTAGTCCCGGCTACTCAGGAGGTTTATGTGGGGGGACTGCTTGAGCCATGGGCGTGCCACTGCACTCCAGCCTGGGTGAAAGAGCGAGACTCCGTCTCAAAAAAAAAAAAAGATTCATGACTCCATAAATCTATCCATATAGATTTAAAATATCTACGTATATATCTGTATCGATACAGCCACATTTATGAACCCACCCACCAAGACATACAAACACAATTCCAAATTACAAATGAGATGTGGTCTAAAATTAATTTGCTTTTGATTCACCATAAAACAATGTTATAAATAGTAGGTTATCAATCTTGCTAACAAAAGTTTATTTAATAACTTAATGCATCGCTAAAATATTCACATTAGTAATTTTTATTTTTTTATTTTTTCTTCTGTAGACCTTCTCTGTGGACACACTAATTTTTAAGAGCAGAAAACATAATACAAATAATTTAAAAACCAGGAAAACGACAGAATTAGCTAGGAGGTTGTTCCTCCTGAGCACGTGAATACTCTTCACTAAGGTCCTCATCTCTACCCATCGGCCTGAAGTCCCACTTGTTCTCTCACCGTCTCTCGCCTCTGCTCAAGAACACCCCACCCTTCACATTTGAGGCTTCGGTTTCCACGGGCTCAGCTCCTGTTTGCCTTCCTATGATATGAAACTATTTCCATGAGACAATGAGGAAACAGACAGGTGGAAATACGCGTGATGGAAAGCCGGTAAGGAAGCAGAACACCAGTTCCAGCTGTAGAATGTGGGAATCTTACCCCCACCTTGACTTTTCTGTATTTTATGTAGTGAGAAATTGAATCCGGTTAAGGCACTTTTCATTTTCATCATTTTATTTTCTCTTAATCAGGAGTTATAACACACGGATTATAAAAAACACTTACTTCATTCCCTGACCATCTCTTATCACCACTGTCCACGCTATTGAAGCCTGAATCAAGGGCTCCATACGGGCGACTTGAGTACAGTTCTTCATGGCTGCCAAAAAGAGACTTTGTTACTGCAAAGTTTGTTATTTTAACAATTAACATTTGAAATTAAACAGATCAGTTTTCTAAACAAACAAGCAGTCACTTAACTATTAGAACTAAATGGGCTTTAATTTTTTAATGTGAAAAATTCCAAATGGAAACAAAGCAAACAATAGTATGAGACCTCATGTACTCATTATTATCCAGCTTCAAAACAATCACACCTCTGTAATTCTTGTTCACCCAATGAGGCGAGTTTACTGGGACTGTGCTTTTAAGCAAAATTTGAGAGGTTCCAAGAGAAGGCCTGAGGGGTTCTCTTTGGAGTAAAGTCCATAAACATTATTTCACTTTCACTGAAACATCTATCCTGCTTGTTTAAAGGCCCAAGAATTTAATTCTTGCTACTTAAGACTGCTCTATACTCAGGAGGCTGAGGTGGGAGGAATGCTTGAGCTCAGGAGTTTGAGAGACCAGGCTGGGCAACACAGTAAGACCTTGTTACAAACAGAAGAGATTGTTCCACGGTTGGGACTGCCAAGCAGATGACCTTATAAGTCATGTTATGTAGCTGAGGGACTCATAGACTTATAAGTCATATGTCATGTAGCTGAGGGACTCAGACTTATAAGTCATATGTCATGTAGCTGAGGGACTCAGACTTATAAGTCATGTTATGTAGCTGAGGGACTCAGACTTATAAGTCATGTTATGCAGCTGAGGGACTCAGACTTATAAGTCATATATTATGTAGCTGAGGGACTCAGAC